CCAGACTGGAGTGCAGTGGCCGCTCCCGGCCACCGCAGCCTCGACCTGCTGGGCTCCGGCAATCCTTCCGCCTCAGCCTTCCAACATATTTTTATTTTTTTAGTTGGAGTCTCACTCTGCTTCCTAGGCTGGAGTGCAGTGGCATGCTCATGGCCACCGCAGCCTCAGCTTTCCGAGGAGCTGGAACTACAGACGCACGCTGCCAGGCTCAGCTTGTTTTTTGATTTATTGTAGAGATGAGGTCTTACCAAGTTGTCCAGTCTGATCTCGAGCCCCTGAGCTTAGGCAATCCTCTTGCTTAGGCCTCCCAAGGTGCTGGGATTACAGGTTTGAGTCACCGCACCTGGACTTGAACGGGGAGTTTAAAGCTACAGATCTCTCATGATCTTTCCTGCCAGGTCTTCCCTCTGAATGAGGAAGTATGGTCCCTAAGTAAGCTTGAACTTTGGGTTGGGCCTTTCAATTTTCCCAGGCCCTACCCAGGTGAAAAACATACTCCATCTGGATATTTAGATTCCTTTAAAATTCTTGGTAAGGTTTCGGAGGGATTCCCTAGACAAGGCTATCATTTCTGCCTTTAGATGGAAGAGTATAGTTCATTCAGAAAAAAACTTCTGCTTGTGACTCATTGAATCATATACAAAAATCTCAACCTGTTTTTAAAATACAAACAGCTATCCACAGGATTTTCTACATTGGTATACATCTTTTCCAGATAATCAGAGTCTCTTGTCCCTACATACCCTCCATATATTTTTGTGTCCCAAATCTCAGCATACGCCAAAACCCCTAAGAAGCCACTACACATGAAAAGATTCGTAATCCAGAGCCCGCATGCTGAGCAATGTATAATTCCACGGGTTAAGGAAACAGCAGGACGTGTTCTAGGGTCATGGTCTCACAGAGTTACTATTGGAAAGGCCTCTGAAGACTGTCTAGACAAATCACCCCAGTGTAGGATGAGCAGACTGAGAACCAGAAAGGAGGGTCATTTCCTCAGTGCAGTAAAGTCACCAGGTGTCCAGAATCCACATAGGCCTCCTTCTATGCCATAAGTTCTTTTACTCCACTAACGTTTATTTTCTGAGTTGCTTCTTGATATATCTTCCTATGTACCGAACATGAAAATAATCATATTTCTGAAAATCCTTACAATACATACTCAAATGCCTTTAAAAAAAGGCTCTAGTAATAAAATTCTAGAGTTCAATTCAAGAAAAAGTTTTGCCAGAACTAGGACCAGGTGGCCAACTTCTAAAGAAAGTGCTTGCAGGCACCTCTGAATGACTCTTCAGATTTTATCTATTTATTTATTTTAAGAAGAAAAAACATTTTTTTTGAGTCAGAGTTTCACTCTGTTGCCCAGGCTGGAGTGCGGTGGTATGCTGCTCCCAGCCACTGCTGCCTCGACCTGCTGGGCTCAGGCAATCCTTCCACCTCAGCCTTCCAAGTAGCCGGAGCTACAGGCACATGCCACCACACTCACACAAATTTTTCTTGATTTATAGTAGAGATGAGGTCTCACCAACTTGCCCAGGCTGGTCTCAAATCCCTGGGCTCAGGCAATCCTCTCACCTTGGCCTCTCAAAGTGCTGAGATTATAGCCGTGAGTCACATCTGGCCAGAAGAAATTTTTGTTATCTAGAATCTTTGTCACAGAAAATAAAAAATACATTTTCTCTTTTATATACATACATTTATGTATGTGCATGTGTGTATATACAGAAAAAGAGAAGGTGGCTTTTACACCTAAACATAAATAATACTTTTTATATTTTATTTTAAGACCCTTCAGATTTTAGAGCAATGCCTTTCTAGAGAAGGAAAACCACTAAGCTCCTTTCAATCTGGAGTCTGGTCTGATGTCCTAAAACTCCCCCCAAATGTGTGGGACACTTTGTTTTGTGTTAAGTAGGATTAAGTTACATTGACGTGTTTTGGATTAAGACCTTGACATCAACAAAAGCACATCTACATGCACAACAGCCAAAAAGTGTCTTTCACATAGAGTTCAGGGTAAAAGTTTAGGCAGAAGCGACTGAGAATATAAGCCTAATACGCCCCAGGAGAAGGGTTAAGGCCAGGTACACAGCAGCATTGTGACACACTACCACTGCACATCTGGAATCACGTGGATGACTGTTATTTCAGGAAGGTTATAAGAATCTCGGGGCCTCACGCTATGTGTAATGAGAGTGAGGTAACAAGCCGGTGAGAAAGTCTGCTTCTGCATTTCTGAATTTAGGAACGGGGAATAGTGGGGGTCTAAAACGTCTACTGTGTCTGTTACCGAATGTATGAACTTGGTCTAGTATTGGTTGCTTGGGCAAAAGAGAAGAGGCCAAAAGCCAACAATCTCATACACTGAACATAGAACCCGTTCCAAATCTTGGTCAGGTCCTCAAAGAATCAATAAAACCATTTTCCCTTTCCGGTAAATCAATCAGGTTGTCTTGTATCCAGTTGTGTGGACCCATACGTGAATTTCAAACATTGGCCGGCACCGTGGCTCAGCCTATAATTCCAGCACTTTGAGAGGCCGAGGAGAGAGAATAGACTGAGCCCTCGGGTTCGAGACCAGCCCGGGCATCTTGCCGAGACCTCGTCTCTACAATAAATCAAATATTGGCCGGGCGGGGTGGCGTGTGCCTGTGGTTCCAGCTACTTGAGGCGGAAGGATCGCCGGAGCCCAGCAGGTGAAGGCTGCGGTGGCCGGGAGCGGCCACTGCACTCCAGCCTGGGCAACAGAGTGAGACTCCAACCCCAAAACAAACCAAAAAAACCATCGAGGACCATATTCTTGGTCTGGGGGACAGTTACAATGGAAGCCTGAAACCCAATCCTCGGTGTGGGTATTTAAGACACAGGGGCCACATTTTAGAAAGGACCGTTGCCTGGTTCCACCAATGTATAAATCAACAGACACCTACTGAGAAAGCTTTTTTTTTTTTGGTCTGTTGGAGTCTCACTCTGTCGCTCAGGCGGGATTGCAGCGGCCCGCTCCCGGCCACCGCAGCC